CCCCAAAGGCATGGGAAAATGCAACTGTATCACCCACAAGGCAGCCGTAAGAATTATGACTGAATAATAGCCTTTATAAAATAAACATTTTATGGTCTATATTTTCTGCAAAAAATAAAATTGAAAAAGATATTAAATAAGCCAACAACAGTTGACATGTTTGAAAACCAGCTTAACCTTATCTAACAATAATTCTTGCCATATAAGAGAAATTTTAAAAAAAATAACTTAATGTTACTTTATAGAGCTTAGGTAGGCCTTGTGATAGAAGCTATAGGTAAGATCCTTTAAAGTAAACTTAACAGTATTTGACTTACACTTAGTCTTCTGATGATCCCCCAGATTGAAATATATAATTGCTGTATGAAATTTGTTTCAATATAGTGAGGTATGTCTCTTAATTTCAGTTAGCATTTTGTAATTTGAACAATTGACTTAATAAAATGAAAATTTTTATTATTATAAGAAGCATAATCAGTTGATGCGTTTATACCTTTTTAATCCTGATAAGAAAAAAAAACAGTAAATTATGGCTAATAAAGGAGTAAATTTTGGCATTTTTAACCATAATTTACCCCTTGTTATTATGGAAAAAATAAACATTTTCTTGGGCTCATACAAAAATTTGCAAGTGTATTTCATACTTTATATTTTTTATATAAACATATTTAATTCCAAGTTATAATAAAATGCTTCAGTTTAATAGAAATATCTTAATCATTTCCTCATCTTTTTTTTTTTTTTTTTTTTTTTAAATAACATTTGACTATCTACTCTCTGGCATTCCTCAGGTAACTCTTTTGTATATATTAATAGCTCAATCATGAACAAGAAATGAACTTCAGGCTCCATAGTTATAGGCTGAGAAATAGGAGCACTGGCAAAGTTCAACAAATTCATTGTAATATCACAAGCTCAGCATAGTGTTCAAGAAAAGACAACCCCCAAAACATTGATGCTTACACTGTATATAATATGCATAAGATGGGAAGCCTGTATGCCCTCAGAATAAAACTTGACTTAGAATAAAAGTGACAATGAAGGAACGCCAGAGCATATGAAGTCAAAATGTGAAACAAAACAAAAAAAAAAAAGGACAAAGATAAGGAAATTAATCCAAACCAACCATATACAATGAGCAATACATTTTTTTTTTAATATGATGAAATGAAATTGCAAATTTCCTTCTATTATTTTAATATAGTATTTTCTATTTGAGAATTTTAAAAAAAATAAGCTAACAGATTCTGTTATGAAGAAGTTTATGCATGTGAACCTCTGTTGGCTTCTTCCTTGTCTCCTCTGATGAGATGTACTCCATCAGAATACTGTATAAATATTTCTTCATCAATTAAGTCTCCTTCATTTACCATTACATACATAGTATGCTAAATATGATACACAATCTTTTTCTATACAGTACTCGACAAAAGGATGGGGCACCCATGTGATATGGCTCCCCTCCAAATCTTCTAGGGACACACTCAGCCAGTATAGAGAGGTTTGTCACTATCCAACATCACTTATGTTTGGCTTGTTAAACTATAAGGATGACTAAATGTTTTTTTTTTTTTTTTTTAACATCTGACCCATATTTTTTTTTTTTTTTTTTAATAATTTGAATTCTCCTCCTCCTCCTCTCTTCTGCTGCCTCCTCTTTGACTCTGAGCGTTCCCATGTGGTACAGTGCACCATTTACATGGTTACCTCCCTTTGTTTCTCATCATACCTAGAAGCAACCAAATTTTTTTTTATTATTTTATTTTTTAACATATGCTTAGGTGTTCAGCAAACGTTTGAGTTTATGAATGGTCTCTTACTGCAGATTCAGTAAAAGACACTCCATACGCTTTTGAATGAATAACTAGCTTCGTCTTCTAATTTACAACTTAAACTATTCTACTAACCAAGTGAAATTGAAAATTTATTTTCAATTCATTGCTACCTTCCACTGCATGTTCTTAAAAAAAAAAAAAAAAAAAAATGCGCTGCACTTTATTTTTGCTTATTATTGTTTTTTTTTTTTTTTTTTTTTATAAATAAAGTATTTTGTTTGGCAAGCAATTAATATTGTTTCTGCTCTATCACTCGCTAAGTCACATCTTTGAAGCAAACCAGCGAACCTAGCAGTTAATTAAATAAATCATTGTGTTGAAATTACTAAATAAATTTTCTTAAAGTTGTAAAAAACTTCTTTTTTTTTATTTTTTTTTATTTTTTTTTTTAAACTGGTTCATTTTTCACTTTTCATTAACATAATTTTTTTTTTTTTTTAAATTGTTTAAGGAAAGAAAAAGTTTACTTCTCAAATAAACTTTTAGTAAAAATGTGATAGCATATTTAAAGTAAATATATTGTACTTATTGTCTAGTGTATTTCAATGCAATTTATATATGCCAGAGTGTAGGCAACAAAAAAAATGAGGTAATGTTAACTTTGTCTCAAGTGTTAGACTATAAGAAGTTGTATGTTTCTAAAATGAACCAAAATGCAGGTTCCTTTTCTTTTGTTTCATTTCTGTTGGTCAAAATAATAGTTCTGTCAAGCAATTACCAATTTATTGATAGGAAAACATGCAAAATATTTGTTTTGGTCTGTCCATAAAAATTTATATGCACTTGTCATTTTTAATGTATTTTTACATTGATAAAAAAAATTATTTTTCATTTGAAGTGTTCTGGTTGTTGGCTTTCTGAATACTAAAATTATTCCTTGTTTCAAGTTTGATGTGTGTGCATTCTTTAAGAAATAATTTTAGTTTGAATTTAATGAACTATAATTCATTGTTACAGTAATTGTCATGATTGTGTGTATGTAATTAATATATATATATATATATAAAATTGGAGGAAAATCCAGTGAAATAGGAATTTGGAAAAAATGTTCTTGATATGTTTCACTGGTGATCCCGTATCACCAGAAAAAGAACTTTATTACACAAAAAACAAACTGAATAACTGAGACAAAACAGGGTTCAAATGAAATATCAGTGCTCCCTTTTCCTCTTTGTTTTTTTTTTTTTTTTTTTTTTTTTTAAATCTATCATGATAAAAATTAGATTTTAACTAAATTAAATATTTTTAAATTATTTATGGTTTAAATGTCTCATACATTTTTTTATCAGTAGAAAATTAATACTGAAAAAAATATGGCTTATTTAATCCATAATTGATTTTAAAAAATAACAATTAGAATAAGTTTAAAATTAGTTAAAACATAATTTCTGTAACAATACAGTTAAAGTAAAAATGAAGCTCTGCCTAATGAAGCACAATTCATTTCTGTAGATTTTGTTCTTGTGTAATAAAATTCTTTTTTCTCATGACCACCCCCCCACCCCACAATCAAGTTAAAAATTAAAAATTGTCTAATACATTCCCTCCACCCATGGACACACATGTCACTTTTTTTTTTTTTAAATGGGCAAAAAGTTGTTTGAAAAAATGTTTTGTATCATTTCTTTTTCATTGTTTTCTCAGTTGTTTTTTTATATTTCAAAGTTTAATTGGTAGGAATATTTTTTACAAGGAAAATTTTGTTTTTTGTTTTTTGTTTTTCTAATTTTATGATATTTAGGAATCTAATATTTTATTTCATCATCACCAACTCTTAATGATTTAATATTCAACTTGCTATGCAAAATCGTATTTTGGTTTTTGTTTCAGAGTCCATGAAGAAAATTTTAGATTACTTACTATTAGAATTAAGTATAATGATGTCATCATTTTAATCAGTTCTTAAATTATTTTTTTTATTGAGATCTTTTAAGATCTCAATAAAAAAAATAATTATATCATTCTGGCCAAAAAATCAAAACTATCAATAATAAAAATGTGGGTGAGCAAAAAGCAGTGTTATCTTTATACAAAACAGTTTTTGGACTGAGGCCTCAATAATCCAGGGCAAAAAATATTTAGCTTTAAAATAGAGATTGTCTATACTATGGTTCCCCTCCATCAGTATCCTCATTTTCAGTTACTCACAGGCATCCCCAGAAAGAAACAATTTATAAGATTGACTGAAAGCATCACTACTAAAAGTACAAGAGTAGTGGATATGCCAAACCATAAAAAAGTGCTTTAGTTTGAGTGAAAAGATGAAAGTTCTTGATTTTAAAAGTATTGCATGCTGAGATTGCTCAGATCTATGCTAAAAGCAAATCTTTTAATCCTTTATCCGCTACAGAACTTTTATTACACTACATTGTGAAAATTGTTCTATTTTATTATTAGTTATTGTTGTTAATCTCTTATTGAGTCTAATAAGTTCTCTGGTAAGAACAAATCTTCTATCTGTCGCATAACTTTTATTACAGTATATTGTTATAATTGTTCTAGTGTTCTATTTTATTATTAATTATTATTGTTACTTTCATTCTTTATATTAAAGATATTCTAATTGGTAATATCTTTGTTGCTAATAAACTGAAATAATTCAGTTTTAGAATTAGATCTAAAAGACCTCTGTTTAATGCAGGGTCTGAAAGCCAGGTATAAAAGCTCAGTTTGGAATGTATTAGAGAGAAAGCCTAAAGAACTCTCATTCATTATTATATACTGATTTACTTGAACTAGTGGTGTCCTTGCTGACCTTCTAAAATTGTCTATCCAAGATGTGCAAATCAGTGTATAATAATAATAATTTCTCATGTAAAGATTTTCAGAAAAAAATGTCTTCAGTCCTGTCTTTGGTTTTGGCATTAACCTGACTTAGTGTTTTATGAAAATATTTTCATTGGTAGTTGACTTTCAGTTCTGTATTCTATCATGGCAGTCATCTGAAATTCCAAGTGACCAATCACTAATGACTGAATTGGTTTAAATCAGAAAAATAAAACAGACTGATTATTTTATTACCACTGTATATAACATGAAGTGGCTTGGAGAAATATCAGTATAGATTTAAAATTTTATAAAAAAAAGGGGGAATAATCTCTGTATAGCATGGATGTGATGTTCTATACTGCATGTTATTTCACTTTCCTATTGGTTGGCAGCATGAAAGCTTCTACCATGTTTTGCTGCATAGTGTTATCAATTAAAACATTGAAAAGCAAACATAGTTTCTCTTTAAATCTGTCTATCATAGTTTAGATAATATTTAGGATAGCAAGCCCCAATCAATTTTTTTTCTTTCTGTAAAAAATGTGTAGAACTATAAGGAAATAGCATTTTTTCCTAGAGTCAAAGTTAACCATAAAATCTTCATTTTATGATCTCTACTGAATCTCATATATATATATATATATATATATATATATATTGTTCTTTTTGCCTTGTATATATCTTTTTCCCTCGGCTAATTCACCAAGCAGTTTCTGTATGGTGAGTTAACCAAGGGAAAAAGACCAGCTCTGAAACAGTGTTATAAAAATTGCATTAAGAAGGCCAACATCTTGCAAAATGACTATGAAAACCTTACTCTAGATTGCTCATGCCTCAGCTGATGAATTAACTGCAATATTACTTTAACATCTACTGCAAGAGGCAACCAATGTTGCTACATCTGCAGAGGAGAATGAGCAGGACTAAAAAGCCACATCCATCCTTGATGCCCATATTTGAGGATCAGTTGGGCAGTGACATTACTCAAGTTAGTGATTTTTTATATATATATATATATATAGAGAGAGAGAGAGATGTCTCATTTCCTTTCAGAATACAGGCAATTATGGCTTTATAGATCATATTTCTTTACCTGTGAATTGCCATGACTTCTTAGCAAAGACAGTGGAGTGGTTTCCTGTTGCCTTTGTTTTGAATTCAATTCTCCTCTTTCTAGACTGGTAACTACCTACAGCTAGATAGCCCAGTCTACCCAGTTATTTAACCAGTAGCTAGTGGAGAGAAGAAATAGATTGATGCTTTTCCCAAGGATATTTACATTAATTGAATGCAACAGACTAGTCCAGAACTGGAACTCAACTCACTGATTCCATTTTCTGTGCCAATAACCATTATGCAACCCACACATTCAGGTGATATAAAGAAGTACCTAAAAAGTATTTTTTTATCTTGATATTTATCATGTGATTTGATTAAATTTATCATCTGAAAAAATGTATCATCTGATGAAGACTGGAGATTTGTTGGTCAAAACTTGAACTCTGGCTCTAGAATAATCATAAAAGTTAAATGATAATCTTTGAAATTACGATAAATTGACAGATTTTTAAAATATATTCCTTTTTTATGATATTGTATGTAATTACATGAAAAAAAGTAAAATAAGTAAAAATTAATCACTAAAATTGCAGTGTATTATGGTTAATTTTAACAAGATTAACATTCAAGATGAATTGTTTTAAATACTAAAATGTTAAAAATATTTATAAGTAAGTGTAGTGATAGGTTTTAGCTTCAGTACAAAATTTATTTGTACTATTTCTCTTTTATACTAGTTGTTTCATTTTCTTAAATGTAACTACTGTTATGGAATCAGTATTTCTTTTCTGGTACTTTAGCTAAAATTTTGAATTTCTTAGAAATAGAAATATAATGAAATTGTAGATATAAATCTAAATATATATTTAACTGCTTTTTTTTCTTTTTGTTATTCTGCAGACGGGAGGATAAGCGGAACCACAGCAGTAGTGGAGAGGAAGATAAGCATAGTTCTACACAATCACTGCCTCTTAAACCACCAATGCGTCAGCTAAGCGATGACAGTACAACCAATCAACAGTTAGAAAAGTGTATGTCTCAACCGAACATCCTTTTCAAAGAACAGGAAAGGCCGGAAAGACCTGAAAGTCCAAAGACTATGTCTACATGTCCATCATCACCCAAAATGTATACAAAGCTGGAAGCCCCTCCTCTTCCAATGATTCGAGAACGGGTTCCTAAAGAACCCGCTATCGTGGAAGAGAAATCTGAACCACCTCCCACGAGCAGTGCAGAGGTGGCAGCTATCGAGGACGCTCTGGCAAAGGTGATGTCTGGGATCAAGTCATTAGAAGTTCAACAAAAAACTGATAAAAGAATGAGTCTACCAGCCATGAAGAATAAACCAACCCCTAAGCACACGCCCGACCTGGTCCTGGACCTCCCCGAGGGTTCTGATTCCCCACCCTCCCAGGAAAATAGTGAGCCTGGTAGCCCCACTGTCATCAGTGGTGCTGATGCTTTTGCCAAGTCTAATCAAAGTACCCTCAAGAAGGGGCATCAGTTGCTACGTGCAGCAACCACCCTTAATCGGCACAGTGCTCCCGAGGAGGTACAGCCGCCTGGTGGACTTCTGCAGTCATCAATAAAACGAAGCTTCAACACACAGGTGCCTGGTGGACGTATATGTCCCAGCCCCATGCCTCCTGCTGGACTAGCCGAGGCCCCTAGTGACGGGCTTTGCTCAACACCCCCTCCTGTCCCTGAGAAGCCCAAGCCGCCAATAAAAGCAAAGCCCCCTATTATGCGTAAGCCTACAAAGTCTCCAGACCCCCAACGTAAATTTACCCAGGCTGAGGAAGGAGTTGAAACGTCCACAACTGCAACAAAGCAATAGAAAAATTTTTATTTCGTGTTTTTTTTTTTTTTTTTTTTTTTTTTTCATAATCAAGAAATGTGCACAAGCATTTATTCAAAGGGGGTAAAAAAAAAAAATAATAGTAATAAAGAGTGCAATTCAGTGATTTTGGTAGAGGAACAGGTTTTTACAAACAGGAGAAAAAATTTAAAATTTCCTTTTATCGTTTTGTTTAAATTTTCAAAAGGAAGTTGTTGAAATGAAATTTCTGAACACCTTGTTATGTAATATTTACTCTCAATTCAGTTTTCACATAAAGGTGAATAAACTACCACCCACCCCCTCCCCCAGACATGACAAAGGTGTACAGTTTTCTCCAGATGCTGACTGTTATCTCATCTTAGGGCGTTTCCCTCAAATATTAAAAAAAAATTGGTCATTGCACCTTCCTAGCTGCTCGGATAAAGTTTACTTGGGGGAGAAAAATACATTAATTGTATTCTGGAAACCAATTGATCAATCTATTTGTTGAAGAAATAAGGTACAAATGATTGATAATTCACTTTTTGTATCATTCCTTTATTACAAGAAGTACATGACGTGGTCTCTCCTGTTTACCTGGCCTCCCATCAGTCTGTCAGCTAGGAAAATTAAAAATAAAAAATTTAAATACTAGTATCCTCATGTTTACTTCTCCTAGTGCTGTGCACTATTTGTCTCTCTCTCTCTCTCTCTCTCTCTCTCGTCTCTGTCTCCCATCTTTTCTCTTTTTATTTTTCCTTCTCATTTTTTCTTTCTTTTTCACTTTTTTATCTTTCTTTTATACCTTTCTCTCATTTTTCTTTTTCTTTTATCTAGCTCTTTTGTGCATCTCACATTTTTTTTCTTTTACTTATTTTTCTTTCATCTTTTTCTTTCCTTTTTCTCTTCTGCTTGATGTGTATGTTTAAATTCCTTAAGAGCAGGAATATTAAATTTTAACTCCAAATTAAAAAACTGTTGATGATTTAAATTTTTTTTTCGTAACAGTTTCCACAGATGATTTTTAAAATTTTCATCTGTGTATATGCATTTTATATATATATATATATATATATATATATATATATATATATATATATATATGTATATATAGTATGCATTTGTCAGACAGAGACCATTCCATGGACTTACTGATATTTTGGAATGTACAGTTACCAAAAAAAAAAAAAAAATGAAATAATCTCAACCAGAAGATTCTGATAATTGTTCATTTTCCTCTTCATCAATTGTACTTGTTTTTATTATGCAAGTAACAAAAAAAAGTTTTTTTTCCCTTTGAAAAAAAAATCTAACCTGAAGATTTAACAAATATAAAATTTGGTAGCCTGTTTTACAGAAAAGTATAAAAAAAAAACTCTACCAAAAGTTTGTATGTCAGGACAACCAGGCTGGCATTTGAAGGATGACTGGCTCCTGGTTTACTTACAGAATGTGTGATTGTGTGTTTTTTGTAGTATTATTGTTATTTTCCTTTTTTTTTCTTTTTTTTTTTTTACCCTCTCCCAATGTTTTTTCTTTCTTTCTTTTTAATTATTTCTTTAAAGTCACTCAATAAAACCACCATTTTTGTGAATGTATATCCAATAGAAATGCGGAATTGACATTTCAATCTTTGGAATTTCCAGCAACACCCTTTACATCCTTGTTTACTTTGGATAATTTTTTTTTTCCAATTCTGAGTCAGTCTTCCTTGGATTGCATTTTAAATGGTTATTTCTACACCTTAACATCTTCTCTCCTTTCTTGTTTTTCCCTCTTTTTTTTTTTTTTTCTTTCTTCTTATTTGTAAAATGTTGAATTTTTACATGGCTTTCATGAAGAAGAAAAACTTTTGATACCATGAACAATTATACATGATTTGAAAAACAAAAAAAAAAAACTGTCATTTAAAACCCAATTCATAAAGACTTCTTTTTTGAATATTTTTTTTCCTTTAAGTGTGTATATAAGTTCTGTTCTACATACAGTGTGTGCTAATCATTCTCTTTGACAATTTAACTTTTTTTTTCTTTTTTTTTTTTTTTTTTTTTTTTTTTTCTTTTTGGCCATAGTGAGAACTAAAGAAGGTTGGGGGTATACAATGTCTTAAAATGTTTGCTTTTGTTATGAGTGGCATTGATGAATAAATGGCACATTTCTGTATATGCCTGTTTGTAAAATGCGAAAAATTCATGTCTGTTTGTTTGGCCAAGGTTGGTTTATATTTTTTCTTATATATAATTGGAATGATTGGGTTGCATGGGAATTCAATGCTATTTAGTACTTTGCTTCTTTTTTTTTTTTTTTTTTGTTTTTTTTTTCCCCTCCATTCTCACGAGAAATTTCTACTAATGCCTACAAAAGAGAGGGTTTGTTTTTTTTTTTCTTTCTTTCTTGGAAAAGACCTTGCAATTAAAAAAAATTAAATAATGCAATAAAAATGGGTGATCACATTGCATAGAACAACCAATTAAAATTCACCCTAAAATATTTGAAGCTTAGTTGAAAACAATTTCCAACATTTTTCCTTCTATTGTTTTAGTAAATATTGACATTTTGCTCCTGTTGTTATCGCTGTTCTAGTAATGTATATCAGAGTTGTCTGCCCATTTAAATCACATTTGCTTTGAGACACAAAAATGTGGATCAGAAATATCAGTGCTGTGTACTGGAAATTGCAGAAAGTAGATGATTTGTCTAGCCTGCTTATATCTGTTTTCTGTATAAGCAGCGTTTTGTCATAGTAGCCTATAAAGGGATGCCAAGTTCATGCCAAACTTTCACTTGTAGTATATAAATTCTTATCTATTTCCTTGTTCAAGTCGTGAGAGGTCAAGTAGAAGTGAATATTGCCAATTTGATTCTTGAACTCTTGTAATTCTTTTTCATTACCAGTTTTCTTATAGTCCTGGCTAGTTTCCATAATTCTGAATTTTTCTACCAATTTCCCTGCCTCACAATTTCTTGCTTTAGTTGCTCTGACATTCAAAACTACTTACAAAGTAATAAGTAGAATTTCTTTTCTTTTTTTTCTTTTTTTTTTTCTACTTAGTTGCCCTTGCTAACTAAATATTTCAAACTTGACACTAAAACTTGGCCTTTATACACTTCATGAGAGGTTTGATTATACATTTTATATAGAAATATCTGTCACTTGCTTATGTGTTTAAACATGTTTTGCTCATAATTGCTACCTTTAAAAATGAGGAGTTCTTGATTAAAATAAAATAAAAAATTACTAGATATCCCAGAAGCCCCATCTAACAACAAGAGAATGGATTTAGTCTTCTCTAATGATGAAAGTTGTTATTTTTTTTTGTTTCCCACTCAGCACTTAGGTTTTCATATTAACCCATTTCTCTTTACTGTTTCTTAGATTTATAACAACAATTTGTCTTCTGTTAATTCGAGAAGAGAGAAAGACTTAATCTCCAAAACTTAACTGATCAATTGTTTTAGAAGCCTTAATTTTAGATCCAATTCCTGACAGCTAAGTTTTCTATGTGCTGTGTGTCTTGTAGTTAAAGAAGCACCACAAATGGTAACCACTGCTATATGATCATTGCTTTGTTGTTGTGGGTCTCCTCTTAATGATATTGTAACCTTGACTTGGACAATTTCTTTTCTTTTTCTGTAACTCACTATTTGTATTAACCTTGCATTCAGTCAATTCAATTTCAAGAAACTGCAGTTTCAACAACTGTTACTTTGAGTTCCATGATGAAGTAATTTCTGTAATCCACACATTATACAGATTAGCATCTTCATCTTTGTTGTTTTTATTACAATGTTTACATCAACAGAAGAGCATGAAGAACATGCCATCTGAAACATAGTGATAAAATCAGAGATGAAGTCACTCGTCTGAATAATGTAAAAAAATAATTTGCAGTTTTTGAGGTTTTTTTATTTGTTTTTTTTTTCCCGTCTTGACTAAATTTGACCTGCAACAAATTTGCCAAAGTCTTGCAATGAGCTTGTGAGGAAATCTGGGGGATACTTTTTGTCCTTGTAACAAATTGCAAATTGGTCTTTTTCACCATTTTGAATGTCATCACCCTCTTATTGTTGTCATCTTGGACCAAACTGACATAAAAAAAAAAAAATTGAAAAGGGAGGGTGGGATTGAGGGAGGAAATGTTTGCCATTTTTTAATAAAAGGCACAACATGTATGTATGAGTGTGTGTAAAACAATTTGCATATGTGTATTGCTAATGCTGTACTTGATTCTCTCTTTACATGCCATGTCCTGAAGGGACATGGGTGATCATGGTTCTCCACAGTTTCCTGTATTCATAATTGGGGGTTAAAAAGAAGAGCAGAAATGAATTTTTCTGTAGGAATGTCCATTTATATCATCAGATGTACTTCTCAAACATCCTTAACAGAATATACAAATTTAGCATGAAATTAAAATGAATCTATGCTGTCATTGAATTTAAAAAAAAAATCAAATAAACAAAAAACATACAATGTAAAATACCAAGCTTGGTTTTCATATACTGCGTCTATGTCAGCAGCAGTTTTCTATAGCTGCCTACACATTTTTTCTTAATGTGAAACAACTGTGTAGTTAAAACTCAGTGTTTGCTTGCTATACCATGAAAGTAACAACTCCCAACTCTGTTGCACCCCTTTTTCTCCCCCTCTCTTTAAAAGCAGAAACAGATGAAGCGTTTTGCTTCTTAAACCACATCCCAACAACCATTTTCACCTTTTATTTATCCTACATTACAGGGAGTTGCTGATCTTTTTCTTTTTTTTTTTCTTTTTTTTTTAAAAAAGGAAAAAAAATTTTTTGTCTTGAATTCAAAGAGATACTTAAAATTATCAATTTATTTTTTATTTTATATTTTCAATCTAAAAATAAGAAACTCTTTAAATTTTTTTTAATTTTATTTTTATGATAATTTTTGTTTTGAAAAAGAAAAATTCTAATTTGAACATCTTTGGAAATTTGTAAAGATATGATTAAATAGCATTTCATCATAATGTGTAGTGATTATTTTTTTCCTTC